CTATTTACATGGGGTCCAACGGGATCCGAATCGTTCGACCTAGGTCGCAGCTTGCAGCGACGCCGCAGACGTGCGCAACTTACGTAAAGCGAAACGCACGCAGTGGTATCAAAACTCTTCTTGCATATACGCGAAACGAGGATGAGATCTCCTGGCTGTGGCTCTTTCTCTTCTGCCGAAAAGTAAAGAAACTGTAAGAATCGGCGAAACCAAGAGGAGAAAAAGAAGTCGCGACGCAGCCGAGGATGCGATGACCGTTCCCAATTTTGTCGGGTTCATTGATTGGCCGGGATTCGGGCCATTCTTTCGGGTCAGAGCTTTGCAGGATTAAAACGGAGCGCCTCCTCATCCTACTACGCGTATTGATTCATAAATTGTATACAAAAAAAAAAGTAACATACTACAAGAATCATCCCATATATTCATTGTTTCATTCAGAATAAAGTTTTATTGCTATTAGAATACTGAATGGAACATAAATTATACATTAGTAATTAATGTCATTAATCAAAAAGAAAATTTATATTTCCAAACGACTTACACAATAATGCAAATCAAGTGCTTTATGAGTTTCTTAAAATAATCAAGAAAATTGAACAATGAAGAAACTTTGCACATAAATTCAAGTAATTTCTATCGTGTTTAAGTAAATGAATCGAGAAGAAAATCAATGAAAAAAATATACTTTCAATTAATAATCATTTACAATTAGAATGTTACAAAAATAATAACAGAGACATTTTCTAAAAAGTTGTAATAATTGCAATATTCTAAAATTCTAAATTTATAATGAATCATTGATAAACTATTTCTAATCGACAAGAACCACAAAATTTTTAAGTATTTTTAGTATTTTGATAAAAATCTCAACAATAAAAAAAATAGATAATGCAATCTGTGTCATTAAACGTATCTCAATTACTGTTATCAGAGTTCGCGTGCAATGCAATATCAATGATTTAAGTCCTTCACATAATACAACAAAATCGTTTTGTAATTAGTTTATTTGTTAAGTAAAAATCTAATTAATTATTAAAACAAACTATTGTTCACTTATCAAAGAAATTCGATTAATTCTGAAATTAAATCTGTAAACTGAAACAATGTTATCGTTATATATATATAATTTTTAATTAAACGAAAGGGTGAAGTAGGTATGTGGGTTACGAGGTTTTTCACCAAATCATAATTACAAATGGGGCGCGTTTAGTAGGTCAAAAAGGGCGTGGGATTCCCGGAGATATTACTACTACTAGTACTATACACCATCTAGTATGCAGTGGTAATATACAGGGTGAATTATGGAAGGGAGCAGAACGTAAACAACTCCCTGCAGACTTTTATATCTTTACTGTTACACCAATTGAATTTGCTGCTTGTAAATTACTTTTCGATACAAACAAAAAGCAACAGAACATGATTAACATCTAATAGATGGTAAGCTACAAATAATACTACAAAATATACTGCAATAAATCTGGTTTAAAAGTCTTACAATTTTCATTTTGTAATGCATGAATGTGCAGATGACAATAACTACTTGAGAAATGGTTGGGTTCGAAATCTATGAAAAGGAGACCACAAAGACCGAATTATAAAGAACGATGATTCTAAGCAGAGAATTCCCAATAATAATAGAAACACACACACAAAAAAAACCGTTACCGAAATGCACTTATTGCGGCCCACTGAGGCAAAGTTTTATACAAATGATCTTAATAATCTCTAACCGTAGAATTGAAACAACAATCGAGCATGTAATAAAACTCTTATCTCGGATTAATAAGCATTACTTAAAGAAGTATGCGCTTGCAAATAAAGGATTTAATCCGAGGTTTCATCTTTCAGCGCCGTTTGATATTTGAATAATGCGCACGTAATTGCATCAGATTCGCACATTTCCAACGCAAATTTTATGTAACCGAGATGATCGATTCGCACTGTTCTCTTTGTTTCTATCTCTCGGCATTCATCACTATTTCAATCATTCATTTTCATCTCGCTTTCATTGAACTGACTGAAATGTAAGAACAATAGGGAAATGAGAAAAAAATTTACATGTGAAAAACCTAATTGAATTGAATGATTAGTTTAATGAATTTATTAGGTTTTTTTTTCATTATTTCCACTTGCAAAGTGCGGAGAATTGTGTTTCTAGGTGGTTGTGTGATAATTGAACCTGGTTGCGAGCGAAATCGATATGCTAAGTGCTTGTACTTATATTGTCAATTTGCTTTAAAGACGCGAGAATGTTCGCACTAATTTCTAATTATTCACATCTATTATCTACATATTCAATATTTATCACTTCAATTCTTAATCTACCTTAGGTAGATTTCAAGATATACACTAAAATTTGAAATGTTTTTACTCGAAAACCAGTAGGTGTGGAAATAATCTATATTTTGTTTTCATTACAAACTTAATAGTTTTAGTTTCAAATTTTTAATCTACTATAAATAATTTCCTTGATATACCATAAACTGTGCAGACTTTATTTAATCGAGAGTCCTTATTGTCTTTATTTTCAATTAAACAACAATTTCTTGACACATTCGCATGCAGATATGTGCGGAATTGCGTGGGAGATGGCTGAATAGAATCTGCATAACGTAAAGCAAATTGCAATTTTCCCATAAGATTCGATTAATTCGCAGGGCACGACGCGCTGAAAAACCAATTTGCAATTTTAATCGAATCCAAGTCGCGCACTTCGATTAAAGCAGCAGTATTAATTGCGAATACAAAATTTCCGCAAGGGTCAACAACTTCTGACTTCCAATCTCGCAGAGAGAAACAGAAAAAAGGAGGAAACGTAAGTGCATTGTCGCTTCGTACACATCCCGATGTGGAAAGGATGCTCTCAACTTTGATTCACTTTAATCCTTTGTGAACTAAATTTCACACTTAAAATACGCAGCTTTTAGGTTTTCAATCAACACTCAACTTTTGATTCCTCTTACAAAATTTAACTTTGTTACCATGGAATCCGATTATGGATGCTGTTGCCAGGACGACGTCAATACGAACGTATTTCGCACCGGTAATTATGTATCCGTTCATTTCCTATTTGATGTAACAACAACAATAATTCAAATCTCTGTCCCATCAATGTACTTGTGTACTGGCGTCAGGACGATGAAAGGATGGAAGGAGATGATGATGGCATCACTATCGTCACCCGTGTGTGTCACCCGTACATTGTGTTAACATCACAATTGTGATTGCAATCTGAGAGGAAAATAAATAACCGCAGAACGTTCCACATTTTTATTTTACGTTTTTATTCAAGTCTGACTCAGTGAATGCAAAACCCAAATCCACCCACGTTTCGCTTATTTTCAACACTGCTTTATCAATTTGTAATTCGGTAATTACAACATTTTTCAATGATGGGTTACGACCAAACGTCAATCATTGATTACAATAAGAAAGTCAAAAAAATATGTAATTTTCTTTAAAAAGCGTAAAGATAGAAACAAACTTTTGAATGAATTTCATTCTCTATACATTTAGCTTCAAGCAACACGTTCAAACATTAATATGGCATTGTTACTTTTGGAGAAACAACTGGAAATGTGAGGACAATGATTGTAAAAAATGTGTTGTTGTTAAATATAAATTCAACAGCTTATAACGAAAAAATCAGAAGATAAGTTTTGTTCATATTATAGCTTACAGTTTTAGCTTTAAAACGCATATTTAGATATTATTCTGCAATTGATACTCTTCGAGAGACAAACCAAAATATGAGAAACCACTGCTTTTTTTGAGATCAATATTTTTTCGATTATTTAAAAGCGTACTGCGCAAATACCAGTAGAGTAATAAGTAAACTTTAACATGACTTTTATTCCCTATATGTTTAGAATGAAATAGCATATTTAAGCATTTATATACCATTGATATTTTTCGAGAAATACATTAAAATCCAGAGCAGTTACAAAAATTATTTTCAAGCGAAAATCAGATGATAAAAATAACAAAATTTTGATTCATTTTAAAGCCAATAGTTTTAGATTTAATCTGCATTTACAATTTTTAATCTACCTAAAGTAGTTACCGAGATATACACTAAAATGTATTGAAATTATTGTTATTATCTTTATGTTTTTTTTCTTTTTGGTAAATTTGAGGTAGATTACATGCGAGTTAATGAAATAACCATGATTTACGTCCTCACGTACGTAACTTGAATGGAAACCTATGGCTGTTATGCGGACAATGTATGCTAATTAGTGTAATCGAACGGCGTGTAGGCTGGATCCAGTGTAAGTACCGGCTCTATGCACGTTCCAATTAATTATTTTTCGCGTGCAAATAATTGCGGTGATCAGAATGAAATACATAAACACACACAAAAAAAGTAATTGTGTGTTCGAAAATCTCATTACAAAAGATGAGTCATCAATCTTAATTTATAAGTTTGATATAGATTTAATCATCTAAAACGTTTCTTTTTCATTAGCTTTTAGATTATGTTCATTCTTATTGGGTATAAGTATTTCAGTAAGATTGTGCAACTTCTAAAAATTGAAGATCTCTTTGAAGCCGCAACATCCATAATCCACCTGTTGAATTCTCTTTTAACGCTCTTTTTCGACGGTCTCGAAATGCGTGAAGATGGGATTACGTTCTCTACGTGTAATTTCGTGTTTTTTTTTTACCTGGATTTAATCGAACTTTTCCCAAAAGCCAAGTCCATGTCACAAACTGATCGTCAATCAATCACTCGGAAATTCATTGTCCAGAATAATCCATGTCCGAAGTGAAGGGACGTGTTTTCGCCCTTAAAAACACTCAAAATCAATAACAGAAAAAAAAAGTAATGATGACTTACACGGCCGTGCTGAATTCGATGATTCTACGAATTGATTTTTTTTGTATGTGCTATGCAAATCGATTCCGGCTAATCGCAATTTCCACGCTTCTGCTTTTTCCGCGGAAAATTCAATGTCATCCCAATGTAAAAAAAAATGTGTGTGTAAAAAACACATGCGAGGACCGGAAGAAGCATCGGTCCGGTTGTTATTTAACAAACGCTGTAATTTGCTAAATGTTATTATTAGTGGGAACGAGTTAACAATCACTGTCAGGGTTACGGGATTACGTGGTGGATGGTATAAAACGATTCGGATTCGCGGCTCCCTACCGCAAACAGTTCCAGAGTTTCGACGCAGCAAGGATAACCGGCAGCAAGATGAACCGCAGAAGTTTAACGTGCGCTCTTGTGCTTCTGGTGTCTCTGCAAGTCTTCACGTCGCAAGCGGTGAGAGTTCATTATTAACTTCAATATCTGGATTGGTTTGAATTGTTGTTTGTCTTTTAGGCTCCGACCGGTGTTAAGCAGTTGATCGATATGAGCGAGGACGAGCTGATGGCAAAGTTCTCGCAGTTCGTTAGCGAGGATAAGGAGATCGCTTCGATGATGGAGAGGTTCAGGGTGGAAGGGCATTCGCTGCAGAAGAGGCAGAGCGAAGACGACATGAGAAGGGAACTGGATGGTATGGACGATATGGATGTTACGCCGAAGCAGGAGGGCTTCATGGATCGTGCCGCTAAATTCGTCCTGGAATTGGTGCAGAGATTTCTTAAGTGGATTAATACGGAGTAGTATTAAAACCTTCCTATTCGGATGAAGTGGAAATCGTTTCGCTCAAGCTCTCACAGCAAACCAAATCGAGTTTACTAATAAAAAAAAAACTAAATAAATGCAATATTTATTCATAATAACATGCATACCTCTTCAGTTCATCCTGTATACAATCAGTTCCGCATTTTATACATAACTCTCAATCATATTCAATAGAAATCTATGTAAAAAAAGTTTTAAAAACAATACAATTTTACAATTGAAATTATTACAACCTTTTTGTTTTCTTGCAAACGAAAACTGTGACTTTTCTTAAACCCTATCAATGTTTGGAATTTAGTAAAGTATATCATAATTATACATGATTTTATTATAGCAATTGAATTTTGTTTCTGCTTCAACAATCAACAATGATTATTCGAAGGTTTCTCAACTGGAACTTTTAGATCATTTCATGTAGTAATTATAATTACAATGAATGAATTCGTTATATAAGCAGAATCAATTTTCTTCAGAAAAAAAGTTGATTATATAACAAAAATGTTAAATATAAGAAGACAGCAGTTCCTAAACTTTTAAACATTGCTACACACTTTTTAGAAACTAAATCTATATTTTAAAAAAATGTGTGAGGGGGCGGCAATATCGACAAAAATATGTGTGAAACATCCAACAAAAAAGCTTCAAATTGTTATTATTAAATCTCAAAAATATATCTTTAGTCAAATCTTGCCGAGACCCACAATTTGGGAAGCGCTGTTTTAAGAAATGAGAACAAATTTATGTTGGAGGTAAAAGTGCACTTATTCACTGTATCTTTGAGTAATTTCAAAAAATAATTGCTTATTTTAAAAACTTACATGTTTTATGAACTTACATCAATTATTTATAATCTAATTTCTTCACATATATTTAGCTTCATTTCTTGTTGTTAAATGGTAAAAGTATATTCTCATTGTGAACGTTTTTTTTTTGTTATTTTTACCATCCGCAATGCATTGATTACAACTTGAATTAATATCAGATGTTTGTATATAAAATTATAGAATTATTTTATAAATACATAAAATTTGCGTAAGAAAACGCAATAATACCAGTGGGAAACGTATTTAAATTATAGGCCAAACTCCAGAACAATTATCTTAAACGCAATGATTCCACATTGAAACTGGTAATCTTCGCGTTTCGTTGTAAATTAAATTTACAACAAATAAAAAAATCGTAATTGTCTTTATGCTTGCAACAATTCAAATTGGTTTGATGTCTGATAAACAATACTTAAGTTTACGTCGGATATACGAAACTTGTAATCAACGCGCGCTTCAATCAAGTTACTTTAATATGTGTTTTCTTTTATGTAACCAAATAAGACTTAGTCATTAATTATGTTACGTGATTCTCAGATTGCGATGTGGTGGTGGTGGTAATTACTTTGGTTTTTTATACACGATTAATGAACTTATGTAACGACTAATTAGGACTTGGGTGATTTGATGTATTCGCGAGGTCGATATTAATTATCTTTAGTGTTAAATGTTCAACCTGAGTTAAGATTATTGAACTAAATATTTGAAGATAAATAGTTTAGGTTTAGAATGAAGTGATGGAAAAATGATTACATAAGTTCGCCTTATTGTTTGTTGGAGGAAAGCAATAGGATTCGCAGCTCGCGTTACCGCAATTCAGTTAATTGCTGTGCGTTTATCCCTCCGACGAATTGCAGTTCGCATAATGAGGAGATGTAAATGGAAAATTGCTCAAATGTAATTACCGATCTGCGAGTATAATGGCTATTTACATATTAGACCAATCTGTTGGCCTGCGGGATGCGAGCGTTTAATAAAAGCCGAACAAAAGTCCTTCCAGCTATCACACAACTTCTTGATCCGCGCGAGGCATCATCATGCTGATCGGAATACTGCTACTGCTGTTGCCGTTCCTCTCCGTAAGCCTAAGCTTTCCAACAAGATGAAACGATAGTAATACAAAAGGATTTTGCAGGCGCAGGAGATCGAGGACATCCTCAAGATCGAGGCCGAGTGTTTGGAAAGGACCCAAGAACGTAGCGTTTCAATCGCGATGCACGGCAAACTCATATCACCAGTCGAGTTGAAATTCCAGATAGTGACATCCCCCAAAGAAGCGACCGACTATTTCATCAATGATTCATTCAAAGAGGTAACAATAACAACAACAGCAACATCTTCATCAATATCTTAATTATCTTCTACTCCCAGTGCCAATTCTACGAGTGCTTAGTAAACAAATCCAAAGTAAGTTAAAACAGATTTCATTCATTACGTCCATAAAAGAGTGGATCGTTTTTAATGCTTAACGCAGAAACTGGATGTGTGTTGAGGTCTTGACATTTCATTGAGCCAACTTTGCGGACCGTTTCAAGTTCGAAATCGTTTTGTATTCTGAACGCGTACGCTAAATAATTTGCAGGAAAATGGGCCGGGACTTGTCGACTCGACAATACAAGAAACAATTATGCAGCATTACAAGAATAATAATATGGACATCGGTCACATCCGAAAGTGCTTCGACCGCTCGACAACCATGAGTAAGTCAATTCTAAGTGAATTACAAACGAATTCGTTTCGGTACACTACATAGTCATCATTAGTAACAGATATTAAAGTAAAGTCATTTTAACTATTTCTAAAATCTTAACTTATTATGGTGGATTTTCAGCTTTTTTTTTAATATTTACAAATCTTAACGCTCGGATGAAAAGACTTGACCCATATACACTGACTTTCATATAATTACGTTTTGTGGTGTTACTTAATACATGTATTCAGCATTAAGAAACTCGTAATTAATTATTATATTTTTTTAATGAAAGTTTCAATTATATAATAAATAAAATTATATAACGGAATTATATAATGCGTATCATAAACTAATTAAAATATTCTCTTATATAACATTAAGAATCATAACTATTGATTAAAACAAAACTAGAAGGCTGCGTAACACCAACCCATAGATGGAGCCAATATTCAACAACTATGCAACCCAATAAACACACTAATTACTTAAATTATAAGTGCAATTAACAATTACATATTTTCAGCTGGATATCAAGATGAAAGCAAAAAGAATAATCATTTGATCGATATAAACGGAGAAACTGAGACAGTTTCATCATCGAAGTAATGTTACCAATGATATCGAATGGATGAATAATCCACACTAGGAATAATTATAAGCAAAGTTGTAGAAATAAAAGCTTGTACATTTTTTTTTTGATTTTTTATTTTTTTACTTAATTTACAAAATTTTGGAACGAAAATGAGATGTCCGCCTTGATGGCACTCGTCAGATGTTTCATCATTGCGCAAAGTGCAATTACAGTCACAGACAATAAACGCAAAACGCGCAACGACCAAGTACCAGCTTCATTCATTTGCCCAAGTTTACTGCAACAGGAAAAAAACATTAATTAGTAACGTAATTCAATAACTAAACAAAAATTTATATTAATTGTATTAAGAAAACAAAGATAAAATTCATTCAAGAAATTAATAGATTCTTTATGTAACAAATCCTTCCTTAATAAACAGATTAAATAGTATCTGGATAAGTGATAAAGGTTCAGTAGTTAATATTGCAAGGAAACCACACTGGAATTGTTTTAATAGCACAAACCAGCCTAAGAGCTTGCATTTACCAAATTAACATAAATAGCAAAGAAAAACTATTATAAGGAATCAGAAAACAGGGATTCATCAATTCATTAGTGACAATAGGATAGCAAACTAAAATCACCAAAGAAATTGTAAATACCTAGACTTAGGTATAAATGAAATCAATACCATCTCATTATTTGCCTCCCTGTAAGGAACAAATAAGTATAAAAAAAGTACCAACACTAGAGAAGGAATCCAGCGAGTTAAATTAAATATTCTCATCATACCTTCTTGGAAGCCGCTCCAACTTTGCTCTTCTTCGTGCCGCGGACCTTCTTCATCCTGTTCTTCCTTTCCTTGCGCTGCTTGCGGGTCACCTGTTTCTTTTCGAAGAGACCGTGACGAGCTAACCTGTGTTTTGGTTCAAACTTCTTGGCCAAGTCCAAGGTGTCATAGACAAGAGCGAATCCAGTCGATTTGCCGCCACCGAAGTTCGTGCGGAAACCGAAGACGAAGATAACATCTGGAGTTACCTAAAACACACATCATTTTATTGAAAATGTCCTCAGTACTGTCCAACACAGTTGATGTATAAATGTGGATGTTTGTCACATAACCTTTCAATACACGCAAACGTAAATAATGTCATCTGCATTAGTGATAAAGGGTCTGTAATTACTATTGCAAGGAAACCACACTGGTCTTGTTTTGGCTGCACAAGCCAGCCTAAGATCTTGCTTTAAGTTGGTTTACGATGATGTGTCTCAATGCTTACCTTGTACATCTTAGCCAACTTTTCCCTGACATCTACTTTCTTGGCAGTAGCAAGTCCGGGATGGATTACATCCACAACCATTTGTTTGCGACACAACAACCTGTTGGTCATGAACTTGCGGGTGCGTATTGTGAAAGTTCCCTCACTCTAAAAACACAATACAATAAGACTATTAGTTTCATCCCAACAACTAAGATATATTAAGTAAAGCATTTTTTTACCATAATTAAAAATGCTGGTAAATATATGAAAAGTACCAGTAAATAACAACAAAAAAAAAACAATATTTATCAAAATATGGACAAAAATATAGGAAGTTGAAATGTAAACAAATTTAGTATTTCCAAAAACGGGTGAATCAGGAAACCGGACTTTCGTGAGTGAAATTCGGTAATAAATAAACTACATTAGGAAAAAACCCAAACAAAACGTTCGTTCGTTGATGGCACAGAGGTTATGTGTACACAAGTATTACCATGTTTACAGTTTCGGTGAAAACTGAAATAATTCAATCAAATTTTGTGGAAATAACTGATGCGACACCAGAAACGCACTTGGTTTCAGCAAGTTTCGCTGGATTTTTGTCCAAATTTCAACGGATGATGCAGAAAAAGGAGGATTTATTTACGTACCATTTTGCTAGCTGATTCACTTCACTAAAAAGAGCGCCGCTAGCGGCTCCACTTTCGAACTGAACTATTTCTGCGATCACAGCGACCTCTAAGCAATTACAAGAAAAGGCGGTAGATTTGAATCCAATTCATGAGTAAAATACAGTTTACATGTGTAATAATTTCTTATAGAAGTGCAAATTTATATAGTTTAAGTCTAATTGATTAAATAATATATTAAATAGTCAAAAAACTTAACTAAATTCATGTATTGAAAAATATACTTTTAAACTATTCATAACAAATTTTTAAAAAAATTAATTAAATTAAAGAAAATAGTGTAGTTGCTAATGTTACAAGTTATATTCTATTATTCATTTAAGCAAATAGAAATATTTATTTATTTTTTAGTTCTGATGCAAATGAAATTGCATAATTACATGTATTTTAATCAGAGTCGAACCGAAATTAATTTTGTACCGGTTTCGAGTTTTCAATTGAACAATTTTTCGTTCCGGTTACAGTTCAGTTAAAAATTCGGTTAATTTCGGTTTACGGACTTTCTGATTTTAATTATTATATTAGTTATGTTTACTATTACTTTGAATGTGTAAAAGGTGCAACAGATTAGTTCATAAAGTTGATAAGTTTTATGTTTTTCTTAATAAATTCTTTATTACTGCGCTCAACATAGATATATAAAGTAAGTAAATATGTATAAAAAAAAGTGTATATATAATGGATTTCCAATAACAAGATCAATACAAAATAGTCAATGGAAAAAAAAAAACAAACATTGTACAAAAATATATAACAATCTTCGTCGGCAATCCTTTAATGGAACAAATACAATTATATCTAAATTATATGGTAATATTTTGTTCTAACATCAATGTCATCTACACTGAAATGGCAATTGTTTCATTTAAAAAAAAATTAATAATAATTAAGTTACAAAAGTCCATCACAATTTCTTTGAAGTATTAAATTTGTATATTATAAAGAGATCAAGAAAAACGGCATTTTTCATAGTGAAATGCAATATCATATATAAAATATTAAATAGTTTTAAAATCTTAGTTTAAATATATAATTTGTTTAAAAAAAACACACGGCTTTTTCGGGTTAATTGACCCTGTAGTTCTTTTTCGTGCCGAACATGGAAGTGAAAAAATTCCTTTTACTCTTAGAACTATCGGCAGTTTTAGCGTCGTTTTCTCGGTTACAATCGATTGTCACATTAGATCTAAAACAGAATATTGCTAATACTTTTCAAATACATATCTTCACTAAATTATCAAGATACTAAGAAATTGTGCGTGTACTTGAAGCTTTCAATTTTCTTAATTCTCTCTCTCTTACATATTAAAGATAAATTTTACGAATTGAGTCTAAATATGGAAAAAGAAGTTTAAAAAGTGTTTAAGAGGAGTTTCGGATAAAGAATCCGACTTGTTTGGTTTGTTATGATTTACCCTAGCTGGTTGAACTGAACTAAACGGGTCAACATGCTGGTTACACAAGGAATTTGCTTCTGCTTGTGCATATGAACTTTGTCAGGAACGTTGCTCTCGTAATCGACGGCGACGCGACGATTGACGAACGTCAGTATGGTGAGGAGGTCGTACTTGTGGGCGCTCTCTTTCAGCTCCTCGCAAAGGGCCTGCATGTACCAAGAACCGCGAGTCGTGTTGCGCCAAGAATAATAACCTGGAATTGGTCAATCTTTAACAAATTGTTAAACAAAAATTAGTAGAGTCAAAAGAAGTACCTGGAACTGTTGAATAGGCAAAGAGAAAATCGGCCTGAGATGGAATCCTGAAATGGTTCGGGGGTTGTCCATCAGTCTCAGTCCTTATCATGTGAATACCACTATCCAGTTTATCACCTTGGCAAGCTTGGAAGAAAAACAACTTGGGTTTACCTAAAATAGAAGAGTAAACCGATTTTAATATTAGCAAACATACATATAACACAAAAACATATTACCAGCCAATGTTGGACATAGATCAGCAACAAATGGAGTCCACAGGAGCTCTGGTTTATAGATAACATCCTTAGCGTAAAGCATACCGTGTTCACCGTGTGATAAGACAATAATCATCAGACAATCATAATTTGTATGATCTTCTCTTGCCACTGCAAATAATTATTCATAGTTTAAACAATCAATTGCATTGATATCAACTCACATTCGGTAATCTTCATTTTGATTTGATTGAATTCATAATTCTCACAGACTGTTACTAAAAATCCCAACTCTTTCATCATAGACTCCAAGTTGAGACAATCCATCTGCGTTCCACTCCGAGAATTCAGGCCAGATATTTTGAAGTGCTCGTGATTGAATATCACAGCATGACCTCTCATGTTGCTACTCATCCGGTAATGAGTTGCATCTTTCGATGTAGGTGCAACAGCCACTTTTTCTTGGTAGACAGAACTATTGAGAGTACATATGATTAAGTAATAATTTTAATAAAGAAATCAAGTAAAAACATACCTCGAGCTTCCGGAAGCATCTCGCTCATCAACAGATTTGCTAGATCCATTTTGTTTGCTTTGGACTTCTTCCATTTCGTTCTTGTAAACGAAGATCGTCGCGTCTTGAAGAATTGCAAACAAAGCAATCAGTAATATATGACGATGATATTATATAGATGCGAGGACAAAGGCTAATGTTACAGGAAATATGTGAGCAACGAAACTCGATCAGTATCGAGTAAACAATAGGAGGGAAGGTGAATTTTATCAAATATTTTCTAGGAACAAAGAATGACTCCTCTCTCAGTGAAGCAAAAGTATAGGCGATAGTCAACGAAAGTTGAGTGCGGCATCTAGCGTCGATGACCAGTACATTATACAATAACAAACATACAAACAAAATTATTAAAAATATGTTTTAATATATTAATTATTATTATTTTTTTAAATTATATATTTAACATGGAAAGCAGCAAAAATATTTATGAAACAATTTCAAATCACAATAAACCACACCTACATCTGTTTATTGGGTTACCTATATTAAATTTCCAATGTAGACAACCAAATGTACCTAAAAAGCGAGTCTGTTCTCTTATCCTTACCTATAATTTATGAGAATGCGTTTTTACATTTCATTGATTTTCTCGAGAACTGTGGTTTTAGCCGTTTGGCTGTAATTTGTGTTCAAAGTTTAAAAAATGCTCGAAAATGCAGTGTTTTTACATTTCATTG